CAGAGGTTTCTCTCTGTGGTCAGCTGGCTCCATGGCTTTCAGACTCATAGCAAGGTAAATTACCATGGCAGAAAGATGTGGAGGAGAAAACTGCCCACCTCATGGTTGCCAGGAAGCAAAGAGAGAGGGGGAAGGGGGAGGGCACTCCGCAGCTATGACCCCCAGTGAGCAACCTACTTCCTCCAACCTGGCCCCGCCTCCTAGCTAACCCTCCAGGCAGTGTGAGCTCATGCATGGGTTAATCCATTGATGTCATTATCATCCTCTCACCTCTCTAAGCATCATTGCCTGGGGGCCTGTCCTCCCCATGTGAGCCCACAGGGGTGTTTCACATTCAAACCACACCACCAGGCCTCCTGCTTTATTCAGTTTCTCACTGGAGGCCCCAGGAGGCCTTCTCACCTCATCCTTCCATTCAGGAAGGATGCAGGGCTGTGTGGAAGAGGGGGAGGGGCGCTACTCCTCTGGGGTAGTAAGAGGAGGGCTCAGAGACACCCCATGCCCACCCCAGAGCCCACTGCAACCAACAGGGTCTGGGAAGCAGGGAACTCCAGGTCAAGAACTATGTGCATTGCCCAAGGGAGGCTTGTGAGTGGCCAGAAGGGGCCAGAGATGAATGGTGTTGGGGTGCAGCCAGCATGTTAAGGCTGTGGATACCCAGCCTGGGAGCCTTCTCTGGATGCTGAGTGCTGGACATTTCCCAACTGGACCCAAGTATAGGAAGTCCTTGACGTCTCTCTCCTATCCTCCCATCCCCCCCCCCCCCCACCCCGGCGATTACTCGACCACGACCACATCCTGACCCAGGCAGCCCAGAGCAGGAGGAGCAGCACCACTACGGGCTCTGCCTGCGGCAGCATGTGTCTACCTATGAGCCACACACAGCTCCTGGCATCCTCCTGACTGCCGGATACAGCTGTAAACAGACTAAAATCCCTCTTTAAAGAGCTCCCGTTCCAGTTGGAAGATAAGCAAGAAATGAGGGAAATAAGCAAAACTGTAACACGTTAGCAGGAAGTAGTACAAGAAAAGATGAAGTAGGCTCAGGGGTGCTGAGAGAGTGGGCACAGGGAAAGGAGGCCCTTGAGGGGGAGGTGGCATTGGAACAAAGGCTGAGGGGTTTGGTGGAGAGTGGATCTAGGCATAGATCCAGCATCTGTTGGTCTTGGGAGAGCCCCTGGAGGTTTTTTTTTTTAAATAATTGTAGAAAATAGACGTATTACAGATTTTCCCATTTAAACTTTTGTGTGGGTGTGTGTTGTGGTGGTGGTATTAGGGTTTGAACTCAGGGCCTACAGCTTTCTAGTCAGGCACTCTACCAATTGAGCCACCCCCCCCCCCCGATCCTTTTGGCATTAGCTACGTTTTGAAGAGCCATTCACTCCTGGGCTGTTCTTCTGTTGCAGATAAGCTGAGGCTCAGAGAGGCAAAGGCTCAGAAGAAGCTAACTCACATAGTGAGGACCAGGGGCCAAGGCTCCAGCACAGGCCTAGGCAAAGTCCTATCTGTCTGTGCTAGGCTGGCTAGGTCATCTGCTGTAGCTGGAAGCCAAAGCTGGGCATCAGGCCAGGCCCACAGGGCCCTTCCCTGCATCCAGTGCACTGACACTGGCCTGGGGTTAATGAATACGTCGCTCCCCCAATTAAAAGCAGAAAGGAAGAAGATGTTGTGCTCAATCAAACTCCTTGTGCCTTCTCCTGCAGAATCTTAATTTGTAGATGCTGGATTTTAATTGTCTTCCCAAAGAGCCCAGCCTAGAAATGCCTTCTTCTCCAAAATCTATAATTAACCAGCCCTGGGGACTGGCCTCAGGGAGGCACCTGAGCCAGGGGCTCTGGGCTGAAGGAAACAAAGAGGAGACAGGATTTTATGTCCAAGCTTGACATGGGTGGGGAGGGACTGAATAGCTACTGAGAAGGAGTCAGGCTGGGCCTGGAAAGAGGCTGCATGAGGGTGGTCTGCAAGTTACCAGCTCCAACTCTATAGTCCCCTATAACTGGGTTCGGTTTGACCATCACCTTACTCTGTGACCTTGGATGAGTCACTTATTCTCTGAACCTCACCTTCAACCATCCTGCTAGGTAGGGGGATTTAAAACCCAGGCTGAGCTCTAGGCTCTGTTTCCTTTATTCCCATGCCTTTTTTTGGGGGTCCGGTCGTGGGGCCTGAACTCTGGGCCTGGGCGCTGTCCCTCAGCTCTTCAGCTCAAGCTAGCGCTCTACCACTTGAGCCACAGCGCCACTTCCGGCTTTTTTCTTTTTGCTTTATGTGGTGCTGAGGAATCGAACCCAGGACCTCAGGCATGCAAGGCAAGCGCTCTACCACTGAGCCATCTTCCCAGCCCCTTCCCATGCCTTTTTGCTGTTTACCTGCCTCTGCTCTCAGTCCTCACTCAGCCTTCGCTACCTGCTCATTTGTCTCCTCTCTGAAGCCTTCTCAGATTGTCACCATGCTCAAGTAACCCCTTCCCGCAGCCCTAGGACATTGAAGGTTGAGCTGATGAGATACTAAGGAAGTGTCCTCACCCCATCCTACCTGGCCACTACTGGCACGTGTGAAGGGGACAGAGAAATCCAGGACCAGCCATTCCTCTGCCTCCAATGAGGTCATGGAGATTAGTCCTCTCTCTGATCAACCCATCTCCCGGCTCAGGAGGACCTGCCCTATTGGGGCTGAGGCCAGTGCCACCTCCTCAGGGAAGCCCTTCTGATTACTTCTCTGGCTTGCCAGGCCTTTGCTGTCAATGCTGCCCACTCTGCACCCATCCCACAGGACCCTGCAAAGTTGTCTTTGAAAAAAAGCTCCACAGGCAAAAAGCCTCTGGAATACTTGGGGGAAGAAGTGGGTTTGAGAGTCAGGCAGACACAGGTGCAAATCCTGACTGCTGTGGGACCATTAAAGGTGGCTCCCCTGTGCTGGGCTGTGGCTCCTTCTTCTGAGCCAGGCTGGAGTTGGCACCTGAGGCTGGCAGGTTGCCACCTGCTGGGAATCAATCTGCATGTGAGTCCTCTGAGCACTGGGGATGTAGTTGGTCCAAACCCAGCTTGCTGAGAGCATGTAAAATACGCTCTGATTTCACGACTCAGCACAGAAAAAAAAGGGGGGAATGTAAAATGTCTCAGTAATTTTTATTACATGCTAAAATAATAATCTTTTGATCTTAGCTTAAATAAAATTATTAACATTAATTTCACCCTTTTTTAGTTTTTTTTCTCTTCTTTTTTCACATGGCTACTAGAAAATGAAGAGCCCTCTGTATTCTACAGCGGCTTTCATTCCTCCATTTGTGATTTTGCTGGCCAGTGTGGCTCTAGCTGGCCATCACTAGAGTCCCAGTAGAGGCTGGCTGAGTGGTTTGCCCTGGGCTCTGGCCCACTCCAGGCTGTCAACTGTGTGAGACTATAGAGCCTAGGAATTGACCATACACTGTCTTCTCTGGGCCTGGCTTTCTGCTGTCAGTGAGCTCTGTGTGGCTGGTAGTCTGTGTATCTACAGTGACAATGTGTATGCATGGAAGTGACAGACATCAGATTCCCTGGTGATCAGCATTTTTTTTTTCTGGGATGAGCCTCTCTCCTGAAAAGAGGAAACTGAGCACTATAATTCTAGCTACTAAGGAGACTGAGATCTGAGGATTGTGGTTCGAAGCCAGCCAGATCAGGAAAGTCCATGAGACACTTATCTCCAATGAACCACCAGAAAACTGGAAGTGGTGCTGTGGCTCAAAGTGGTAGAGTGAAAGAGCTCAGCGACAGTGCCCAGACCCCGAGTTCAAGCTCTATGAGTGACAAGTGTGTGTGTGGGGAGGATTCTGATTACATCTCAAGACAGTATTTGTTTGGGGAAACAAACCGAATACACAGAGGGGAGGGGCTAGGCCACATAGCTGGCACTGGCATTCTCATCCACCTGGCAGACTGGGGGCCAATGCCACTAGTCTGGGGAACTGGCTGTCCTGGAACTTAGTGGAGAGCTGGGCCTTGGAGGTGGAGGGGGAAAGATGGGGCAGGTCGACTGCCAAGTCTCCCTGAACCCCTGAAGGATCAAATACCCCTCCTTCAACCACCAGAGCATTTTTCTCTGAGGACTGAATGCCCTGGGGAGCAGCCACCACCAGTGACAAGGTGAACAAGAAAAGGAGGTGGGGACCTACTCAGGCTACCCAAAGAGGGGCTATCTCTCAGAAGGGGTGATCTCAAGCTTGTTTACCTCGAAGAGCCACATGGGCAAAGAAAAGCCAAGGGAAAGACTGGTAGGGGACAGCTGGCACAAGTGGGAGAGCCAGGCAAGGTCACACAGGGCAGGGAACGGGCTGGCCCTGAGGAGGTTGGGGTAACCCCAGGGCAGTGGGAGCTCACCAGGCCTCTGAGGTCAGGTGGGGTTTGGTTTTATAAAGATGGTGCTGGCTGCCTTGTCCTGGAGGTAGTAATGCCCAGGAGGGAAACTGGGTGGCGGTGACTTTAGAATCTGGAAGAAGTGAGGACACTGGAAGCTTCCGTCCTGGCCTGTCTACTTCCATTACCAACCTTCTCCTGCAAGGTTCCCCAACGCGGCACCAGGCTCCAGGACAGAAGGCTAGCTCATGACTTAGAGTTCAGGCTAGCTCATGGCCTGCTGTCACCAGAGGGTGCGCTCACATTTTCTGCCAGCCCAAATGAGCTTCTGGTGCCCAACAGACACCTGCTCCTGCACCATCGCCCTGCCCTACATCATTAGCCCCGCCCCTGCATCCCAACTTCTCCTTGCACCATCACCCCGCCCCTGCGTCGTTAGCCACGCCCAGAACATTAGGCCCCACCCACACATCCTGACCATGTATCCTCTCGCTAGCCCCGCCCCATATGCAAATTCCCATCTTATACCATTAGCCCCGCCCCTCCACCGTACTTTTGCAGCCTCTCATTTGCTGCGCCTCGATTCTCAGGCCCCGCCCCACACCATTGACCCCGCCCCTCCAGTCTCCGCGGTGCTCTGAGCCCCGCCTCCCGGTTTCTCTGCAGCACTGTTCACAGAGACACCCCACGACATGACAGCGCGGACCGGCGAGGACGTGGAGATGGCCTGTTCCTTCCGAGGCAGCGGCTCCCCGTCCTATTCTCTGGAGATCCAGTGGTGGTACGTGCGGAGCCACCGGGACTGGGCTGACAAGCAGGCCTGGGCCTCCAACCAGGTAACTGGCCTGGGGGCGCCCGAGTGGGCTGAGGAAACCTGCCCGGGTTGGGGGCGCTCTGCCCCTCGGCTTCCCAGGGGTAGGGACATAGATGCCGGCTCTGATGTTGGGCCCAGCGTCCAAGCGGCCCCTGCTCTCCCCGCAAAGCCCAGAATTCAGGCTTATTCTTAGAAGGGGCTGAGGCGAAGCTAAATTGAGCCCCCAGGTGGCCAGGGCAAGAAGGGCCTTCAGAAAGGGAGGAAGTGCTCCCGGCTGTGCCAGGTAGAAAAACAGAAGTCAGAGGCCCAGAGGCCAGCAGCATGGTGGTCATGGGACAGAATGGATCTTGCGACTCACTTTCCCCCACTTCTGCAGGCTGCCCGCGGAGGTGTGTACTAAGGGTGCTCTGCAAACTCAGGGCAGGCAGCCTCGTGGCTGAGTTCATTCTCAAGCCCTCATGCATGCATGCAGCCAACTTCCTGCACACACACACACCACTTACACCCCTATACCCTTGGGAATCTAAACGCACCCCTCCCGCACTCAGTTGGATGTATACCTCCCTTGTCTTCTTTTGCTCCAACCTCCTTTCGCAGTCCTGAGTGGACACAGAGCCCAGGGACCCCTATCTCCAGACCTTATGGCCCTGGGAGCCTCTTTTATTGTAGCTAGAATTTTTTTTCTTTTTCTTTTCTTTTATTATTATTATTATTATCCGTTGTAAGGCTTGAACTCAGGGCCTGGGCGCTGTCCCTGAGCTTTTCTGCTCAAGGCTAGCACTCTATCACTTTGAGCTGCAGCACCACTTTCAAATCTTTTTATATTTATTGTCCTCTTTTTTTTTTCTTTTTTACTAACATGCATTGAATGTACTATTAATGGGGTTCCGTGTGCTAATTCCACATATGCACATAGCATGCACTGACCTCCCTTTACCCATTATCTTGATTGTTGTCACCCACACCCCACCCCACACCCGCCCTGTGCTAACACTCTGTCTCTGTTGTCTCTGCCCCTCCCCTTCCCAACAGCTGAAAGCTTCTCCACAGGAAGACGCAGGAAAGGCCGCCACCAAAATAAGTGTGAGTTTTCATAATGACTTCTTGCGAGGTCTCTAATAGAGGATGCAGGTGTAACTTTAAAATAAATACTTTGGGGGACCATTTCCACAGGGAACCTGGGCAAGAAGATGGAGGAGGAATAAAAGGAGAAGGCGGGGGAAGGAGAAAGCTAGAGATTTAAAAGCCAGAAATTTTTAAAAAGCTAGAGATTTTTCAAGCTCATTGAATGACAGGCACAAACAAACGACAGGGAGAGAAGATGCATGCTCTCCCGTGGGACCAAGGCCAAGTGCACCTCAGATGCCTCATGGATCTCAGCAGCATTTTTCATCTGAGGAGCCGCCAAGGTCTAAGGAGACTGAGATGGGGCTTTCTTTTTGGACATCATGAGCAACACCTACAGCCTCTCAATCCCTGGGTCTCTGGGGTGATGGTTCCTGTCCAGAGACTCTGAGACTGGCCAGGCCTTCTTATATATCTACTCATTTTCCCGTAATAACACTGTAGGAAGGGCCGAGCATTAGCCCATTTTAAAGGTGGAACAATGGAGGGCAGGGGTAGGAGTCAAGGAGTTACCGAGGTTATCCCAGCTGCTACCCGTGTTGCTGAACGCTTTGTCCCAGGCTCTAACAGAGCCAAGGGACACTGGGGTCCTAGAGGAGCTCAGAAGAGGACTCAGATCTGGGAGAGGCAGGATGCATTGAGAAAGGAGGTGACCAAAAGAGAAGACTACTAAGAGGGAGCCATCCTGAGGACAGGAGTGGTCACAGGACCAAGCTGGGTTTGTGCTGGGACTGAGGAAAACCAGGCAGGAGGCTGAAAGTCTACAGCAGCACAGGGAGTATGTGGTGGGGGGAAGGGGGAGCAAAGTCAAAGTTCCAAAATGTCCCCCTTGTCTGCCTCTCAGGAGTAGGTAGGGGGAGATGAGGACACAAAGGGCAGTTAGACACAGAGGTCACAGCATAGAGAATTGATACCAGGGGTGTCGGGAAGGAGTGTGGGGGCTGGACAAGGGGTGAGCAGGTGAGAGAGTGGGTTGGCTTCAAAGTGTCATAGCTCAGTGGCTGTGGCCCAGCTGAGATCTGCAAATCCAGCCATTTCCAGCCCTGGAAATTTATTTATTTAGCCGACAGATAGGTAAGGCAGGCAGGTAGAAGTCGGTCTGCCTGTGTTACCATGTCTCACTCTTCCAACCATCTCTACTGTGATTGTGTTTGTGGGCTCCATGAGCAGCTCACAGGCAGAAGAGAAAATCAGCTAATTGATTTAGAGGAGTATAATTCCAGCTGCTGGTCCCCCGTGAGGGGAATGCCACGATGCTAATTGGCTAAATAACACTGAGTGTGCTTGGAGTGAGTGTAAAAATCCCCCCAGCTGCACCCCTCAACTCCCACATCGGCTGAGGCTTTGGGGTCTGGCAAGAAATGCACAGACAGGCACAGGTCCAGCTCCTTGGGCAGCTCCTCGCATATCAGCAGGTACCTTTACGCTGGCCCATACCTGGGGTTCTTTAGGTCCTGGGAGAAGGTAAAGTTTTTCTCCTCAGCCTTCAGAGCTCTGCCCACACTGCACTTGGGGCTCATCCTGTTCTTCTTGATCCACTCCCCTTCCATCCCAATCCTGCTGCCTTGCTGCCTTCCCATTTCCTCCCACCTCTGGGCCTTTGCACAGGCCAGGCCTCTGCCTAGAAAGCCGTAAAGCCGTTCTCTCTCTCCCTCTCTCTCTCTGCTCTTACTCACTCTCTCAGCAGCCTCCCCTTCCCTTTTCTGCTGGGTGCATTGCTGTCTGTTATTACAGCTGTCATCCCCAGAGTCCTGGAACCCAGGGTGCACAGCATAGTTATATTTCCAGAGCTCAGCATGGAGCCTGGTACATCATAGGTGCCTAATAAACACAATGATTACACACACACACACACACACACACACACACACACGGTGCATCTGCCAACACAGAACTTCACTGTGACATGGGTCTCATGCCTGTACCTGGATATTGCAGGTGACAGGAATCAGTGATGGATCTCACATGGGAACACACTGATCTGTGGGATTCAGGCCCTGTCTCTACAGGGGAGACTGAGTCAAGCAGGGATCCAGGTTAAAGATGCCAGTACTGATGACACCCTGGCTACTAGACTTTAACCGTTAGGATGTCATTTGACCTTTTGAAAAACAGTTTGTAAGCCAAATAGCCCAGTCCCCTAGCTGGGCAGAGATGGAGACTGAGGGACACAATGGGGAATCTGCCTCCTCCCTAGGCTTCCATTTTGCCATGTAGCTATTGTCTCAGGCAGGTAAGAGAACACTTGAGAGCTGTGTGGCTGGCAGTGGTTATTACTAGCATGGAACTTGTTAACAAGAATTTGTGAACCCTAAGGCTCCTTAATGGATGTGTGTAGTGGGAGATTGGTGACGCCTGTCAATCTGGTTTATATGCAATAATACTAACAACAATACAGTGATAATACAGCTGCTCACGTGATCAGATACTTTCCATATGTCAGGAGCTTTGCCCAGCACTCAACATGAATTAACTCAGCTAACTTGGGGCCCAGGGAGAGACCCCTGGCCTAACAGTGCCTCCAGGGGTAGTCCTGTACATGCAGCCTGCTCCTAGAAGAGGGCCTCAGCCAGGGACTCTGAACACACTCCTGCCTCTCGTCTGTGTTCACGTTCTAAAAGGCTTTCTCTGGATCTGTGGTCTTTCACACTGTGGTTTAAGCTCATTTCCTCTTTGCCAGTTTTGGAAATCTAACTTTGGGCACTGTCCCTGAGAGTTTGTGCTCCAGGCTGGCCTCCACCACTGTGAGCCACAGTGCCACTTCCAGTTTTCTGGTGGTTCATTGGAGATAAGAGTTTCATGGACTTCCCTGCCTGAGCTGGCTTTGAACCTGTGACCCTCAGATCTTAGCTACTCCTGAGTAGCTAGGATTACAGGTGTGAGCCACCCGTGCCTGGCTTTCACTTCTTATTTATTTTTTTATTTATAGTGGTTGGTATTGGAAATTGAGCTCAGAGCCTTACACTTACTAGGCAAGTGTTCCACCATTGGAGCTACAGCCCTGGTCCATTTTCGCTTTTAGTTTATTTTTCAAATAGGGTCTTCTGCTTTTCCTCAGGTCAGCCTTGTTCTCCCAAATCGTCCTACCTCTACTTCCTGAGTAACCAGGATTATAAATGGGTACCACCATGCCCAGCCCCAATTTCCTAAGTTTAAGCAGTTTCCTGATCCACCTTCTCAGGGTACTTTCATCCCCACCAGATGATGGTGGAACCACAGTAAGCAGGAGCTGCGTCACCTTGCCCTGCCCCTGGATGCCCCCAGGCATTAGTCTAACCCTTCCGGGTGATGAAAAGGTAGCCATCAAGGTAGAGGAGAGCTGTAAGGGAGGGTCAGGGGAGTTGGCCTGAGCTAAGCATCAGTGGAGGGCAGGGGTGAGGCCTGGTGCCCTTAGAAAAGCAGGTTAGGTGTGGGCCTGAGGCTTTGGAGGAAGCTGGGAGGCTGAGTGAGCATGCAGCTATGAGGGGCTGGGCAGATGCTGGGGGTAGGTGTGGGCGTTCTGGGTCCTGGAGAGGAGAGGGGCCTCGGGTGGGGATTGGGCCTAAGTGTGGAACAGAAATAATGCTGTGACAGGGCCAGGCTGAGTCCACGAGGCCTGCTGGGGCCCAAGTCTGGAGAGACCTTGAGTGGGATTCTGAATGTGATGAAGAGTAGCTGACACAGCTGGGGTGGGGAGGGGTTCTGATGGAGGCTCAGAGCTGAGCCTGGCCCAGGAAAGGGACTGTCTTCCCCTGTTCCCCACTGGGACCACCACCTCCACCTAGAGGTGCCACCAAAGCACGGGTAGGCATAGTGGGCACAAATAGGTCCCCTGTCCTCCTCCTGGCAAGGCTGGAAGAGCCTGCTCAGGGGGGTCTGGGTGAGCAGGGGGAGCTGGGTGCATCTCTTTCAGCACAATTAGGCGCTTAATTGCACCGCTAAGGCCTGTCGATGAAGCCTGGGCCGGTGATTATGATTTACAGCCAGGCCGCCCTGCAGGGGTCGCCTCTCAGGGTCGCCTCTCTTCTGGTCTCCCCAGGTCGCTCTGCATAGTGGAGCCAAAAGGTTCTCTGCAGAACTTGTGAATAATGGAACCCCGCACCCACCCCTACAACCCTCCCAAAAAGCTGCTGTGGAAGGTGGGACCTCTCAGGAGGTATCAAACTGGGGCTCCCTAGATGCCCAGAGTAGTGGGGGCCTGGAAACCAGGCTGAAGGGGTAGATGGCTTCCCTTTGTAGGTTCTTCCTTGGAAGAGTTGGCCTGGCTACCAGCTGGAGGCTCTCTCTGAGTCTTACATGTGTGTGTGTGTGTGTGTGTGTGTGTGTGTGTGTGTGCGTGCACGGGCGTGCGCACGCATGCACGCGCTGCTCTGGGGGCTTGAACTCAGGACCTTGGTGCTGTCCCTTAGCTTTTTTATGCAGGGCTGATGTCCTATCACTTGAGCCATAGCTCCCCTTCTGGCTTTTTGCTGATTAATGGAATGAAGATAAGAGTCTCACACGCTTTCCTGCCTGGGCTGGCTTCAAACTGCAGTCCTCAAATCTCAATCTCCTGAGTAGCTAGAATTTCAGGCATGAGCCACCGGTGCCTGGCAAAGCTTCACTTTTCACCTGACCCCCATCCCAGGGTCGCAATGAGGCCTAAATGACCTGCTGAGGTTTGGTTTCCTCCCTTCTCCACCATGGAGCTCTCCCTCCAAGATGGAGTCTCCCAGCATTACTGCTGTACTGCTACCCAGCAGTGCCTTCTGCAGATGATGCCCAGGGCAGAGCATGGAATAGGCATCCTCACCCTCCATTTGCTCTCTGCACCAGGCCATCAGTCCCCGCAGACATCACCAGCCCTGGCTGGCTCATCGCTTTGTCCAAAGTGTGCCCAGCACAGAGCAGGCCTTCGGCAAGTGTTGAATGAATGGATGAAGGTAGCTAGAAAGATGGAGGGCTGGGAGCCGGTGATTGCTCAGGATCAAAGCCCACCCCGGAGGGCTCCCCAGCCCCTCCTCGTCAGCTGGCCTTGGGAAGGCCACATTTGTCTGGGTGGCAGGTGAAGGAGCTGCCTGCCTGGGTGGACGCAGGCCTCAGCCCCCTCTGTCGACCCGAGGGCGGGCGCGTAGGGTGTGGGGGCGCTCTCTCCCTCCCAGCGGTAGCTCCCAGCGCTTCGCATTATTACTCCATTAGCGCCTTGTAGGGTTGACAAATGAAGGATAATTAATATCCGTGAGGGAAACAGATGTTGAGGTAATTCGCTCCCGCTGCGCATTTGCAATGGCACCTACTAACCCGCCTGAGAGTGGAGTGGAGCATGGCAGAGCGGCAGGGCCTCTCTGTGCCCTTGGTCTGGGTGAAGGGGTCAGAGGAAGGGATGGGCACCCGCTGGACAGGGGCACCAGATTTTTGGCCCCTAGGCTAATTCAAACAGCTGAGAGTTTCCTCCTGCTTGCCATTGGGAAGTTCTACCTGGGTCCCACTTTGGTGCCTCTTGCTCTACCATGAGCACATGCTTCTCTTTTCATGAGGGGTGATGTCCAGCAGGAAACCGTTGAGGGGAAGATGGGCCCAGTTCCCTGGCCCTGCCCACCAAGCTCTCATCTTCTGGAGCCTGAGAGAGCCCGGGACCCTGCTAGCATGGGTGACCCTCTGTGCACTTACTGCACTGTTTGAATGGGAAGGTGCATGAATCCAGCCCAGATTCAGGCCCCAGCCTGACTTGAGGGTCCTGGAAAGGTTTTGTCTCCCTCTGGAGCCTCAGTGTCACCATCTGTAAAGCGGGTGCACCGTGTGTCTGTGCCCTTATGTGAGAAGCACGGTGTCTAATCCCACTTCTATTGGAGAAAAGGAGGGGGTGAGTCCTCTCACTTCACAAATGGCCACCTTTTCACACCGAGGGACCCACAGGGTGCCCTCCTGGGCCCCAAAGCTGGGTTTGCCCTGTTCCTCTTGGAATTGGGGCTTGATGAGAACAAGCTACCTGTGGTCATGCTCGAGAGGGGGTCCAGTAGAGCTCAGGGGCAGGGCCTGGAGTGCCCGAGCTGCCAGCTGGTGTGAGATCGTGGACGGAACTGCTCTCAAAGGGCCCAGCTTCCCCCACGCTGTATCTTCATAACTTCCACGTACCTTTTATCTTTGAATTGAAAACAAATCCCAGCAGGGCTCTATGCACAGCAGATTTACTTGTAAGATCACTAATCTGGAAACAGGAGGTGATGGCACAGACAAGTTGTGCTGTGGTCACCCAACGGAATACTACACAGCAATCAACAGAGCCCACAGCCAAGAGCACTTCCCATTAAGGAATCTCACGGATACCGTGCTGTGTGAGAATTCCAGAACCAGAAAGACAGAACTGGGAAGTTGGGGGAGGAGAGGATAAGAGGGGAAAGACCAAGGCCTGGCTTCAGGGGGCTGTCAGTGTCCAGTGCCTCTCCCTGCACGGCAGTGACACCCACATGTGAAGTGTCATGAGGCTGTCGGTGCTTGAGTGTGCACGTGCTCTAAATTTCAATTTGAAAATGTAAGTGAGAAACCTGATCCAGGGCTGGACATATTGGCAGCTAGGCTACATAGTGAGATCTTGTCTCCAAATTAAATACATACATAAATAAAAGAAACTAGCAAGCCAATTAAAATCCAGAGTTTGTTGGGCACCAGTGGCTCACATCTGTAATCCTGGCTACTCAGGAGGTTGAGCACTGAGGATCGTGGTTCAACGCCAGCCTGGGCAGGAAAGTCTGTGAGACTGTTATCTTCAACGAACCACCAGAAAACTGGAAGTGGTGTTGTGGCTCAAAGTGATAGAGCACTAGCCTTGAGCAAAAGAGCTCAGGGACAACATCCAGACCCTGAGTTCAAGCCCCATGACTGAAAAAACAAAACAAAACAAAAAAAAACCCAGAGTTTTAAAAAGCACTCTTGCTCTACCCGAGTAGAGTTAGCAGTTAACCACATCCTTAATATTTGTCATTGACTTTTATTTATTTGGCAGTGCTGGGGCTTGAACTCATGGTCTTGAGCTTGTTGGGCAGTCACTCTACCACTGGAGTCACACTGCTCAGCCCTGTTTTATCTTTGATTATTTTTCAAGCTGAGTCTCCACTTTTGCTAGAGGCCAGCCTCAGACAGCAATCCTCTTACATATGCCTCCATGCAGCAAGGATTATAGCTTACAGGTGGCTGTCACCAGGCCCAGCATCAGCCTATATTTTAAAGAAATGGAACCTTTTCACCAGGCAGCCCACCCTGCACCCCTCCCATGGAGATCCCGCTAGGTTCCTTCCTGTTTTATCTTCAGACTTCGGTCCACAAAGACTAAACAACAACAACAAAAAAACCACAAACCGGGAGAGAGCAAGTTGTCAGTTTCTTTGCATGAATGGCATTATAGCCTGGCTTTGCAGCCCGTCCCTTCCGGCGTGCCTGGGTCTCCGATGCGGGCCTCTAGCTCACCACACACCGCGGGACTCACTGCACCGCGGCCTGGCGATGCCTTCTCTTGATCCCGCCGATGGGCATCAGCTGGCTTGGGGCTGGCACTGCGCGCCCCGCGGCTCCCGCGCCGCCCCTGCGGCGCCATCCCGGCGGGAGAGTCTGGGGGCGGGAGCCTGGGGTGGGCCGGGTAGTCCCCGTCCCCGCCCGGCGCGGGCGGCTCACGGCCTCTCTGTCGCCCCCAGGTGGTCAAGGTGGTCGGCAGCAACATCTCCCACAAGCTGCGGCTGTCCCGGGTGAAGCCCACGGACGAGGGCACCTACGAGTGCCGGGTCATCGACTTCAGCGACGGCAAGGCCCGGCACCACAAGGTCAAGGCCTACCTGCGGGTGCAGCCCGGCGAGAACTCGGTCCTGCACCTGCCCGAGGCGCCCCCCGCCGCGCCCGCCCCGCCGCCCCCGAAGCCGGGCAAGGAGCTGCGCAAGCGCTCGGTGGACCAGGAGGCCTGCAGCCTCTAGGGACGCGCGCCCGCCCCGGGGGGAGGGGGGCCCCACCCCGTCCCATCCCGGGGTCCCCGCCCCCTTCTGGGGTCCCACCCTGTCCCATCGGGGGTCCCCGTCTCCCTAGGGGCTCCCCGCCCCCGCCCCCCCGCACAAGGGTCCCCAGTGGCCAGAGGAGCCTGGGCCTCCGGGGCTGTCCGTCGGTCCGCCTCCCCGCCCCGGGCCGCCCCGGCCACCAGGCCCTCTGCCCCCCCCCCCCACCCCCCTCTCTGCGCATGTTCGTCCCACCACCCTTCCCTTGCAGACCCCGGCGGTGACGTGGCTCGGAGCAGGTGGCCCTGGGCTCCCGGGGACGACCGGGGCCCGGGCTGCCCCCTCTCCCCTTCTGCCACCAGCTTCAGGGGGGTCCTGTGGTTTGCTTTGCTTGCTTGTCCTTCCGTCCAGTCCGGAGCCGGGCCTCCCAGCCTCGGCCTCCTCCTTCCTGCTACCCCCGCTTGGACCTTGGGTGTGGACGGCACCCCTTCCAGACTTCGGACTTGAATCCTCTGACAACCCCCCGCCCCCGCCGTGAGGGACGGGGTCTGAGCCCCCCAGGAGAGCCAGGGTGGCGGAGCAGGGCCACCCCCGTGTCCCCCCACCCGCCGGAGAACGAGGTGCCCACTGCCTCCCCTGGCCTTCCTGTCCAGCCTCGTTATACCGATTGCAGTCCCTGCGCCTGGCTCTCCAGGGAGGCGGAGCCAGGGAGCTGCCCATCACGCAGCGGGGAGGGAGGCCCCGCCCACAGCAGAGATTTGCACCAGCAGGACCCCTTTGAGGGTCTCCGAGGCTCCCCGGGGAGCCCCCCTCTGCCAGCCCCCAATATCCCAAGCCCCCTCCCCTCTTCTGGGGGGCCCTGGGTCTGTTGGGAGTCAAGGCCCCCCCCTCTACCAATCCCTCACCAATTCCTGATCAGGGCCCGGCCCACCCCTGACGGTCTGTAAATATTTCTATAGGGTGAAGAGGCGGGGCTTTGCCTAGGGGTGAGCCGGCCGCCCTGTAGACAGACCCAATCCGTGACTACCAGCCGACCTGAATAAAGCCGTTTAAACAAACCCCAGGGCCTTCTTTCTGGGGCGTCATGGGGGCAATGGAGGTGAGGGCACACAGCCAGCTCACGTCCACACTGAGTTGGGTGCTGACTCTGCCCCCTCTGCAAAGGCCTGGGGCGTGGGGGTGGGGGTGGCGAGGGACGACAGGGGAGAGGAAGAGCAGCCTTCCTCCAGCTTCAAGCCAATGATCAGGTGCTTGAATTCGTCTTTGCGTCTGATACACTCACGCTCACAGAAGACTGCATAAAACATGTATACACAGTTGTGTGAATAATTAAAAAGCCTATTCCTGTGTAGCCACCACCTACCAAGCATGCGGCTCCGCGGCAAACGCCACCCAGCCCTGTGTTCTTCATGCTGTCCCCCACCCCCAAAGGCCACCCAGTAATACTGTCTGTAATCACAGCCTTAACATTGTTTATACAGTCTTTATACCTATGTATAAGTTGCTTTGAACAAAATATTGGAGGGTTGTTTTTTGTTTGTTTGTTTTTTCAATGCTGGGGTTGGAACCCAGGACCTTAACACCTGCCAGGCAATGCTCTGCTCCTGGACTACAGCTCAGCCCCTAAATATTTGAGTTGTGATTACTTTCTTTGACCTGCCTGCACAGGGAAGCAGTCTGTATTCTATATCTTAACCAATATTATACCAGGAGATTCCTCGTGTGTTGCACGTGTCTGTGATTTGTCTGCTTCTATGGCTGTATGGGATTCCGTCCACCCCTGGACCATCCCAGAATTTCCTCATTGGTGCCTCTCAGTGGGTGCCACTGTCAACATCAGGGCTCTGAGCACCCTTGTCGTTTTCTCCTGGGGATGCTGGGGGCAGGTCTGCCAGGCCCGAGTCTCTGCCTCTTCACTCTGGGGTCCCATTTTCCCTAGGATGTATCTCTACATTCTCTTTATTACAATTAAGGAACATGGGCAGAGAGATTGAGGATCACTACCAAGGTCACACAGTTGCTAAATTGCTGACCTCACTTAGCCCAAAGCCTGTGGGTTCTGTTCTACCAGACTGAATCCCAGGCTCCCCTCCCCCTCCTCCTAGCCCAGTCTCTCACCTGCAGTGTAGTCTGCTGAGAATCTGCCTGAGACTGGCTCTGGTCGGGCCTTTACTGCCTGCCTGGCCCAGCTGGTCCCTGCTCTGTGTACTTGCAGCCACCAAGGCCTCCCTCAGAGACGGGGGATTGTTGAAATGAGGACGGACCTTGGGTCCAGGCCCCAGGCCCCAGGTTCCATGCAACACCAAGGCAGGCATGGCATCCTGTTTGCAGATGAAGACACTGAAGCTCAAAGGCTGGCGGATGGGTGGTTAGGTAGGCGAATGGGTGAGTAGATGGACAGGTGAGTGGAATGGATGGATTAGAAAGTGAATGGATGAAGCTGGGCACTGGTGGCTCACGCCTGTAATCCTAGCTACACAGGAAGCTGAGATCTGAGGATCGCGGTTCAAAGCCAGCCCGGGCAGGAGAGACCGTGAGACTCCTATCTCCAATAAACCACCAGAAAACCGGAAGTGGCGCTGTAGCTCAAGTGGTAGAGCGCTTGCCTTGAGCTGAAGAGCTGGGGGACAGCGCCCAGGCCCAGAGTTCAAGCCCCACGACCGAAAAAAAAAAAAAAAAAAAAGAAAGTGAATGGATGGATGAGTGGATGGATGGGATGGAAGGACAGATGGAGTGATGAATGGAGATGGGATTAAGCCAGGCTTAAGCAGGGAGGGCTCTGGACTTGTGGCAGAAGCAGGTATTTCAGAGCTATTGGAATCTGCCTGTAGTCCTTTCAGTAGTAGATATTCAAGCAATCACTTAACCCTTGTTTAACCAATATGGTCCCTTCCAGAAATGTCTAGGTGGAAGGCTGGCCCTGCAAGGCCCCAGGGTCCTCTCAGTACTAACCATCCCTGAGCACCTATGCTGTGCCAGGTGCTGGTGCAGCACTTTCCACAAAGAATTCTGGGATTCCACAGGATCTTATCTGAATGCTTCAAGGATCAGTGTGCCAGCTCTAGCCTTTCCTCCCCACATGGGGATTAGGAAGGACTGTTCTTGTTCTATCAGGAAGGCAGACTTAGGGTAACATTGCCTGGGTTTGAATCTGCCCCTGCCTATACTTGCTGTGTGAATCAGGCAGGGAGTATCACCTCTCTAAGCCTCAGTTCCCTTTTCTGAACAATGGGTTTGCTCCCAAGAAATGTAAATCCAAACCACATTGAGACAGCACTTCAAATAAACTTGGAGAACTAGAATAAAAAAGACAGGTAATGGTATTGGTAAGGCTATGGATAAGTCAGAGCCTTCTGACATGTCAGAAGGAAAAGCATAGCGCCTCAGAATGTTTTTGTTTTTTGTTTTTGTTTTGTTGGTTGCGGGGCTTGAACTTGGGACCCGGGTGCTGTCTCTGAGCTTTTTCGCTCAAGGCCAGTAGTGCTCTACTGCTTTGAGCACAGTGCCACTTCTGGTTTTCTGATGGTTAATTGGAGATAAGAATCTCACAGATATTCCTGCCGTGGCTGGCTTTGAACTTCAATCCTCAGATTTCAGCCTCCTGAGTAGCTAGGATTACAGGTGTGAGCCACCGGCGCCCAGCTGATCCTCAGAATGTTAAAAGCAGGGTTGCCACACCGCTTGGCAATTTCTGTCCTGTTTTCTGTTCTCTTGGGCAGAGAGAATAAAAACTCGTGAATGAATATGGAAGGCAGCATTAGTTTTAATTGTTCTCAAGTAGAAAAGAACCTAAATGTCCATTGATTGATGGATAGTTATAAAATGTATTCTATGGGACAAAATGTATTCTAGGTAGACAACAGAATTTTACTTGGCAAATAAAAAGGACCAATGTTCTGATGTATACTTCACCATCAGAGCACCTTGAAAATATTGAGCTGAGCAAAGGCAGCCAGATACAAAAGGCCACATAGCATACAATTCCATTATATGAACCAGGCAGAATAGGCAGATCCGTAGAAACCGGGAACAGAATGTGAACTATGCAGTACTGAGAGGGAGAGTGGATACAGGTTTCCTTAGGGGAAGGGGGAGGAGGGCTAGAAATTTCCTAAAATTCACCGTCGTGCAGGTGGTACAGACACGTGTGTCTGCTCAAAGCCATCCACACTCTAAGTGGGTGAATGGTAGCGTAGGTGAATTTTCTCAGTAAAACGAGATGAATGAATGAGGCGGATGCTCCCAGCAACAGCACAATGCCCATGTGTCCATACCCAATTCTGGGGGAGATTCTGGCTCCTGCAAATACAGCTGGCATATTGATATGCAAACCAGAGTAAAGTTGTGAATGCCCATGTCAGGTGCATGACCTCCAAGCCAGGTCCCAGAGAAGCCATGACTCCTTGCCCACTCCTCTTCTGGAATCCAGTGGCGTTAACACTTAGAGCACAGTCTTTGGGGTCAGACAGACATGGGTTCAAATCCCAGGTCTGCCCCTTCTGAGGTATACGGCATTAGCCATCCCACCTTTTTCCTGAACCTCCAAGTTTCCTTGGAGAACTAATGGGGACACTGCTTCCAGCATTGGGCCAAGCAGGCTGCTCTCATTTACAGGCAGGGCCCAGGGCCTGGGGCTCTGCACTGCTAACACACTCATCTGAATGTGAAGGTTCCGGAGTTGCTGGAATGTCTCTGGTACAGGGCAAGATGGTCTGGAAAGGTAGATGCCAAGTCCAGAGCTGACTGAGGATGGTTCTGAGGAGGGGTGCCGAAGAGACAGATACTGCCAGGCTATTGGAAACAGGCAAGTATTACATCTGTACTTTGAAACTCACATCAATATTTAAAGAAAACTGATCAGGAAACAAAAGTAAATAAAATGGGGGGAATGAAAGAATGCCAAGGTTGGCCGGGATCCTAGGCCATCTGGTGTCTGAGTCCCCGAGACAACATGGCTCTCCTTGCGCTGAGCAGTGTTCTTTCTG